AATATTTGACTTACCTTGATAGTTTCGTACCTTCTCGGTTGAAGTTAGAATATAAAATCAACGAAAAATGACTGCTCCTAACGTGTGTTCTAAAATGTATAATCTATAATCTATATCGCAAGTACCCTCTTTATTTTTTTTTCTTACTTTGACATTGTCATAATGTATTATCTTCACGCGATATAAAATGTTTAGCAGTTTTATACCTATTCTGTCTGACGTGTGTCTAAATCTTATAGATATATAGACTTGATTAACAACTTGTTTGGACTTTTGGAATTGCAATCTTTCTCTCGAATTATTGCCGACACTCGCGACGAAATATTATGAAATATAAAAATACTGTTAGATACCTGCATATCTATAGATTAGTTATCTGCACTAACTCGCGAAGTTCATATTTTTTTCAATTTAGGATGACATTGTGTCTAGCTGCCGACGTGAAAGGTTGACATCCATTTTTGTATACCTATCGCATATCGGTTATCAAAAACATCGTGTTTCTGCTGTGTTAAACTTAATTTTTATACAACAAATTCAACGTGTCTCTAAGTCCCTGGTAAGTAATAGCTTAAATTTATAACCTTTATAGTATCTAGGTATTTAACGCTTGTGACGATATTACACAAAAATCAAATTAATCTATGATCAAAGTTTAAAATATAATATACCTATTGAATACAATATTTAACTATTTTTACTTACTTTTATATTTATATTATAATTTTCAAACATTAACAATAATATTTTGTTTTATAGGTATTATGTATCTATAATTATGTATATTATAATGCCGGTATTATACCTATTTGTACGCTTTATACGCTTTTGGTAGTTTTTATAGGTGGATGCATCATGCATATAAGAATATATTTCGTTTTTCTCGATTTATTGACATGTGCGTGTGCGTGCGAGAGTGGCACACGGCGGATTCCGAACATAATATCTACGCACACTAATGATCATTTACTTCGCACACAACCACACCGCGTAACGAGTATAATACATCGAATTACCTATACGCAACCCCTTATTAAATCTCCTTAACATAATATTATGTTGTTTCATTTGAAAATTATTTATTATATATTAATTTATTGTTTTAATAATAAGTATATATTTGTAATTAAAATATTAATAATGTGGTAATTACACCGATTAGCATTTTAAAAATATTTGATCAATAAATTTCACGTGGTTGTGAGTAATATTGTTGTCTGCAGATGTTTTTCCGCGATTTTTATTCCGCAATTCACTGTCTGTATGTAGGTTGTTCGGTGCATAAGTATACTGTAAATTTATATATAATAATCTTTCCAATATACCTACATAAATCGTTTCTTTAAAACAAATACAGGCATACAGCTAATGATATTTATTATTTACTATTTAGCTTATTAATTTTATCATAGGCAATATAAAATAATTATAAACTTTAAATACAAATTAAATAATTTAATGCCCACCAGCCCCTCTCTATAGTTTCTTAATTTCTTATTTTTTAATTTGTTTTGTTGATCTTTTAAGTTATCAGTATTTTTAAAACGATATTTATTTTTTATTTTAGTTATTGATGTTTTGACACTTCGTATTTGAACTCAAAAACGAAAAAGCGTATACCTATACTCTTTTTCACGAGAGAAAGGTACCGGCGGCCGACCAAAACGGGTCAGCCGCCACACATCCCCCACCCGTTGGCTAATATTTATCTATAGACTATTACAGGTATTAGGTAGGTATGATGGACGTAGTTTGTTATAGGCTATATTTATATTATCTAGTATTAATTATAATATAACATGATACAGCTATAGCTGATATATGTACCTATAGGTGGGACGTGGGTATGTACAATGTCTTACATTATGTTAGTCTATTTAATCTTATATTATGTTTAGTGTGTATTAATTAAGTACTTTTTCGGACTTATGGTTTTTATTTGCAATAATTGTATTCATAATTCATAAGTAGGTAATTGCCGACACGCTCAACAGTAAAAGATAAACAAAATACTGGGTTTTGTATATAATATAATACTATAATATTATAGTTCTCTGCAAAAATTCGTTACATGATAGCATACTTTATTATATTTTCGTTTATTAACCACAAATTTCTATAGGTATCTACCGTAGGTATACAATCGTTTACACGTTTTGTCATGATGTACTTAAATATTAAATCTACAAAGTACAATTGATATTTTATTATTTTATTACAAAAATATAAAATATTACCTACAATTGAATTAAAATATTTTATCGTACTTTATTTATTAAAACACTTTATCCACTCAAAGGTAGATAATGTACAAATTATCCGGTTAATGTACAAAATAAACGTTTTACGTTATCCTATGGGCCATGGGTAGTATTCACATTACCCGGGTAATGTGGACATTATCCGATTTTCGTACTTTACCCGTAACATGAACATATAACCAACACATCGTGCTTCTGATGAGTTGTAGCTTATTTATGATAAATTAAATTAATATTGTATATAACATGTTTATCACGGGTGTAGAACAATATACTACATAAACTATACTGAAAATGCTTTGAATGTTTTATTTTTACTGTAAGTTGTTATAAAATATCATAAATGATAAAACTCGTTTCATAAAATATTACGGTTCAAAAAGGTTTAATGTTTAATCGAAAATTTGATAGTTGCCGAAAACAATGTTTGGAAATTATTTGTTGAGATTACAATTGCAATCGTATTTTAAATAAAATTATATACGAATAATTGTATGTTTCCTAATAATATTTTGACGATAAACAATATGTAAATATTAATAATAATTATTATTTTTGTTAGAAGTTACATTGTAATATACTTGTATATAGATGCAATATTTAAAAGATTATAAAATAATAAAAATATTTCAAATGATTGATACGTCAAATGAAATGAATAATTATTAAACAAATAGTTAATGAATGTAGGTATCTAATCTTTTAAAACTACTACCATTATATATTAATTTTTTAATGAAAAGTATACCTGTATTATATACGTATAATATATTTGTAATTAAATATGATAACGTGATAATTACACTAATTAGGTTTTAAAAAAAATAATAAATAGGTAGGTACCTACAGTTTAATTTTTAAAGATTAATTAATATTTTAGGAAACAATTGAATAATTTATTTTGAGGTGGCTTTTATAAGTTTTGGGGGGCTAGCGCCCCTAGCCACCTCCTAGTTGCGCTTATGACTTAGATAACCATGAATGGGGAATTTGATGGTATCTTTTAGGCTACAAAAAATCGAAATTCAGAATAAAAATTCTTGTGAAATCCCTGGAATACAATATTACCCAACGGCAACACCGTATTTTTCAATAAAAGTTCTTGGACATAAGTTCATAGATAACATAATATAACCATTGCTTTTGAATTGTATGATAAAAATTAAATTGTATTTCAAATTAAATATTGTTTAAATAACTATATTAATTTTGTATACTAGTAAATCAGTGTTTCCCAACCATTTTCTTGTGGTGAGTCAAAAATGATGTTCTCTTTAGTTAGGACCCTGCCCCCCACTAAAAAAAAAATCAAGTGTACCATAATAGTAATACAGTTTTATTATTGAACATTTTTATTATAAGCAATTTTATATAATTATTTTATTTTAATATAATACAATAGGTAAGTACTGAATAATGAATAACGAATTCTGTTAAATATAAATTGGATTTTTAAATTAAAATATTTAGGTATACCCTACGTACACATAATATTCAAATATGAAATAATTGATTTAATAATATGATAATAACATTTTCTTCAGCCATAATAAAATAATACCTACATGTGGCATGTACTAAAAATTTAATTTTATCCATTGTAAGATCTATGTCCTACAATACTAGTTATACTTCATAATTTACATTATTACTATACATAAACATATCAAATAAAATATAACAAGAATTGTTAATCAATTTTAGGTTAAATTTACTTCCATATATTTTTTTTTTTTTAAATATAATCGAGAAGTTGCCTTATTAGTTAACGAACATTGCGATAAATAGGTTGGGAAACGCTCATTTATAATATAATATTATTTAATTTCAGTATAATATTTGTCAAATTGTGATTCAACTTACTGTACTTTAATTTGTATTACCAAAGGGCATGGTATACCTATCCGTTTATAAATAAATAAATATTTATATTTTATACAGCAATATCATATAATATAATATGTACCTATTATTTATAAAGATATAGGTATTGTGTGAATTTTTTAATAGTTAAAAAAAATTAATAACTTGCCCTGCTTTGCTAAAAAACTGTTATAGGATGCTATTGGTCATTGGGTTCTTTCTACTTTTTTTAATTTATCAATAAGATACAATATAATATGATAATCATCTTGAATCTAAATTAAATATTAGGAAATACATTTTTTTGTTTCCATAACATATTTAGTTACCTATATAGTATTTCTTTATTAAAATTAAATACATGGATAATAATTATATAATTTTAAAAACGTATAGACGTATAGTGCAATAAACTTAGGCTAGCAAATTGTTAGTTATTGCTTTGAAAACTCTGTATACGCATATGTTTTCTGTTATACTGTGTTCCGTTGTTTGTGGAAAATATTTATTAAAATCAAGAAGCATAGTTCAAACAATTTTTAATGAAGCCAGTCAGGTCAATAAAATCTCTAGTTTTGTCTATGGTATCGTATATTATTTCAACAATAAAATAAAATAAATATCTAGTCAGGTCTTGATCATAATGACATAACTATTATCCTATTAATATTATCCTAACCTATAACCCAGCTGTTATTTACATTAAATTATTTTTTCAGTGGGTATTCAAAAATTAATATTTTTTTTAAAATTCTAGTCATTCAGTGGCAGTCAGTTGACAAAAGTTGACAGAAGGTTGCATTCATTCCTAGAAGTAGTAGAAGTAGTAGAAGAAGTTATTGTAGTTTTTTTTTTTTTTTTATTTTTTTTTTCAAAATGGGACGCCTATCAAAACGTGCTCTAAAAAACAAAGAAGCCAAGACACGGGCCCGTGACAATGAAAGTTTTCGTGTACAAGAACTTGAAAATAATAAATTAAGAAAACGGTTATATCTTGCTTCACAAGATGTTACAAATCAAAGAAAAATTCTTAATTTGAAATGTACAAAAAAACGACTACTAGATCCGGTGAATAAATTAAAAAACCAGATTACCAGTCGTAAAACTATGTTGAAACGATTGCAAGATCCGGTGAATAGAAAAAAACACCAGATCGCTTGTCGGAAAAATATGGACAAACGATTGCAAGATCCGGCGAATAAACTTAAAAACCAGATCACCAGTCGTTTAAACATGGACAAACGATTGCAAGATCCGGCGAATAAAGTTAAAAACCAGATTGCAAGTGAAATAAACAGATCAAAAAGACTGGAAAATTCAGTTTTCAAAAACACATATCAAAAAAAGAACGCCCAAAATATGAAAAAGAGAAGAATACCGTCTGATAGTAGTCTTCGGCAAAATATATCTAGTAAAAGAAAAACACCAAATTCTATATCATATAAAAGAAGAGAACGGCAGAAATTAAATGAAACCAGGCAGAGGGAAGATGTTTTAATTTCTGAATATATTTTGAAAAGGTCACAAGGTTTATCAGAAAAATGTTATTCGTGCCATCGATTACGTTTCCCGTCCAGTGTCAATAAGTGCAACTCCGATCTCTTCAGGCGATTAGGGATGTCAATTCCAAGTGATGCCAAGAGTAGTGTACAGGTATGCACAAGTTGTCATCCGCATATGAAGAAATCAAAAATTCCTCCATTGTACATAGGAAATGGTTTTGAGTTGAACAGTGTTCCACCTTCAGTTACTCAACTAAATCAAATTGAAAAGCAGATGGTTTCACTTAGGTTACCGTTTATGAAAATATTCAAATGTCTCCGCAGTGATGGACAGCTAAAAATCAAAGGCAATGTTATCAATGTTCCAATAGATCTCACCAAGACTACATCTATTTTGCCCAGACGTGCCGAAAATTTAGCTGCAATTAAGATGATGAAAGTTAAATTGAAAAGAAAATCATGTTTTAAACAACATTATCTTTATCGAAATGTAAGACCATCGTTAGTAGTAGCAGCGTTGAATGATTTGATTAAAAAACCACTGTATAAAGATGCCGAAATAGACAGAGATTGGTTGGCTCATGTCACAGAAACCACCAAGGGTTTGGAAAATGGTTCGGATCTTGAAAGCGAAGGAACTGACGATGAAGATACAAATATCGAGCCAATCAATCCGGGACAAATGGACACGATGATTGAAAACTGTGATTTTGTGTCTTTTGCTCCAGGTGAAGGCATGACACCGTTGTCTATTCTCATCGATGATCACGCGGAAGAAAAAGCTTTTCCCGACTTGTTTGGAGGACATCCACGCACTAATAAATCACCTCTAAAGAATTATTCAAAAGTGGTACGATCTGAACTGCTTAATGTAGATCGAAGATTTGCATCTGACTCTTCAAACATATTTTTTAAATGCAAAGTATTAGTTCAAAAAGTAATCGCTAGTAATGTGCAAATTGTTTTACGAAAAAACAAAAAAGGAAACACAACTGCCAATGACGTAGCAAATCCAGAAGTCTTGAATAAAATGATAGATAACGATCAAGGATACCGAATGCTACACAACGTACAAAATTCACCATCATATCTAGCTGCAATGAGGAAAAACGTTTTTGCTATGGTGCGTCAAGAAGGTCAACCGACATTATTCCTAACATTTAGTCCTAGTGAATCAACTTGGATTGATTTATTGAAGATTCTATACAAGCTACGTTACTCCAAAACATTATCTGATGATATTGAACTAACTTATGCTCAAAAATCAGATTTAATTCGACAAGATCCTGTTGTTTGTGCTACTTATTTTGATCACAGGTTTAGAGCACTGTTCAAATTGATTAAATCCAAAAATGTAATTTTCAAAGATCACATTGTTAAACATTTCTTTTATCGGGTCGAATACCAACACAGAGGAAGTCCACATGTACATATGTTATTGTGGTTAGACAATGCACCTGTTTTCGACCCAGCCAAACCGGAGACTTTTGGTGCGTGTGTAGCGCTAATTGACAAATACATCAAGTGTATGGTAGACGATAGCAGTCCTGCCCATGAGTATTTACATAAAAATACTCATAAACATACACACACTTGTTACAGGACTGACAAAGATAAACAAATGAAAAAGTGTCGCTTTAACATATCATATCCACCAATGAATGAAACCTGCATATTGACTCCGCTAACAGCTGACAACAGTAATGTAATCACAAGACAAATTCGTATAAAACAATATGAAAAACTTTTGCAATATCTCAGAGACTTCAAGGACGGTGACACATCTTCAGATCCGTCGTTAGAAGATATTTTACAAAAATTATCAATAGCAGATGTTAATGAATATAAATCCATTATTCGAACTGTTATTAAACGGCCGACAGTTTTCCTTAAACGAAGCATAAAACAAAGAATGATTTCTGGATTCAATGAGGAACTATTTCCGCTGTGGCAATCTAACATGGACATACAGTTTATATTGGATGTTTACTCTTGTGTCAGATATGTAATCGAGTATATTGGAAAAAGCCAACGTGGAATATCAAAATTAATGAGAGACATTGTCGAAAATCTCAAAACTTCCACTGATATACCTGTCAAAGAGCAACTGAAAAGGATAGCTTCGACGTTTTCGGGGAGTCAGGAAATTTCTGCACAGGAAGCAGTGTACACTTGCTTAGGTATGAAGCAATGCAATACGTCAACTGGGTATACATTTATAAACACCAGCCATCCGGATAAGAGAACTCGAATGTTGAAACCAATGGCAGTAAGAGGAGAAATGGATCCACAATCCGATGACATTTTCTACGATGGTCTAATTGAATACTATTCGTCTAGACCTTATAGTCTTGAAGAAATAACTTTGGCTGAATTTGGAGCCAATTATGAAGTTCGTAGTAAAAAAAAACCTGCTAAAAACAATTCTGACTCGGACACTGATATTGAAGAAGAAACCACTTATTCGATTAACTCCACGCTAATCGGAAAACCAAACAAATGTATACATAAACGTAAAATAAGAAAAATCATACGGTATGTAAGGTTCAATGTGGATAAAAATGAACAAGACTTTTACAGAGAAAATGTTATGTTATTTTTACCATGGCGCGATGAAACAGTTGATTTATTAAATATCAACTGTAAACAAGTGTATGAAACAAACATTGATCGAATAAAAGACTTGTACCAACAGTTTAATAAAGTCGAAGAAAACCAATTAGACAATGATGAAAACCAAATAGAAGCTGAGCAAGGCCATAACAATAATCTGGTTCAAGACGATGAAGATTGGGTGCCAGACGATGTACTCATAAATGATGTCGGAGATTATGTAGAAACTACAAATACTCCAGATGTTGATAAACCTAAAGATGGTGGAAATATAAGAGTGCACCTAATTGACAATGAACAGTTCAATGGCCTAATCAGATGTTTAAACGACGGTCAACGCCAACTCTTGTATCATACCACTCATATCATAAGAAGACAAATATGGGGCAGAGATAATCCTGCGATAAAGGCGTTTGTCACTGGACCAGCGGGAGCTGGTAAATCAATGCTTATACGAGCGTTAGCACAGTCTGTAATTCGCATAGCAAATCTTAGACCAGATATAGACGATTTATCACTTCCACCAGTATTACTCACAGCACCAACAGGTAAAGCTGCCTATGGAATAAGAGGTTTAACACTTCATTCTGCGTTCAAACTCCCATTGAATCAATTTGCCGGGTTGTTACCAAAATTGAGTTCAGATATTTCAAATACACTACGTTGTCAATTCGCCAACGTTAAGCTATTGATAATTGATGAAATTTCCATGGTCGGCATAAAAACACTGGGATATATTGATCAGCGATTGAGGTCTGTTCTAAGAATAAATAAACCCTTTGGTGACATAAATATCATAGTGTTTGGTGATTTCTTTCAATTACCACCGGTATTGTCAACACCACTGTACGACAGCTTTGAAGAAATACTGTCTAAATATCCAAGTGCGGTAGAAATCTTATCAATTAAATCTATTTGGGAAACATTCAAGTTTTACGAATTGACTGAAATAATGCGCCAAAAAGATGACAAACAATTTGCAATAATGTTAACAAAGTTGGCCAGAGGACAGTTGGAGGAAGCTGATGTGAAATATTTCCAAAATCTTATAACCCAGTTAGACGTTACTTTTCAACCACAAGTAATGCACCTCTGGGCTACTAACAACGAAGTCGACGAAATGACCAGAAGAGTGCTTAGCTCTATGAATCAAGTGGGTTTCATTTCTGAAGCAATTGATACGTCCGCCAAACGACAGGATATTGAATCTGCCAAGAAAATGCCACGACAAAAAACTATGGGATTACCTTTAAGATTAGTTTTAAAAGAAACAGCCAAGTATATGGTGATAGCAAACATTTCAACCGAAGACGGCATAGTCAACGGTGCCATTGGAGACCTCATGCAAATAAACAAAGGACAAACTGTAGGAGGTAAAGAAGTTGCTAAAAGAGTTTGGATCAAGTTCGATGAACCAGAAGTGGGGTCAATGACTAGACAGCAGATTAAAAACAAACTGAAACCTGAAGGCGAACACACAGACGATATGTGCAAGTGGACACCAATTGAAATCACAAAATTAGAATTTCAATTGGGTAATGCAGAGCACCATAAAGTAACGAGAATGCAATTGCCCTTGGTGGAAGCTCTGGCATTGACGGTACACAAAAGCCAAGGCGCTACGTATAAATCCGTAGCATTTCATATACCCAAAAAGTACTTGAAATGCAATATGTTGTACGTTGGATGTAGCCGAGCAACTTCAGCCCAAGGTTTGCGAATAGACCACTTTCCTGCAAAGCCACCAAAACCTTCATCAAAAGTTGAACATGAGATGTCCAGGCTTAGGACACCAAGTTGTGCCCTAAATCCACGGTTTTCTAGAATTATGAAAGACGACAAGCCACTAACATGTATGTCACATAATATAAGGTCGTTAAAAAAATATGAAGATCATATTAATGCGGACATCATTCTTTTGCGATCTCAACTAATGTTTTTCCAAGAAACCGGTTCAAAATCAACAGACACATATAACATTAAGAACCATATAGAATGCTGTAGAATAGACAGTATACATGCCAATGGCAAGAGTGGTTCGATTTGTTTTGTTGAAGAATCTATTCAAAATAAGGAAATAACTAGCAATTCAACATTAATCCACGACAAAAAAACACGCACTCACCTAGAAGCAATTGAAGTATTCGTTGAAAATATAACCTATATTGGGATTAAGGTAGTTGAAGCTAAAACTAAATCAACTGAGGTCCTCAATAATGTTAACTTTGATGATATTGAATTCATTCATGTCGATGATTGTACCATCATGGTTCCAGAAAACTGTAATAGAAGCTCAAACATATTATTAGAATCAACTGATAATATAACTACATCAAGAGTTCAAAAAATAATACCAAAGATCGAAAATCCAGTAAGCATAATATTAGGTGGTATTTGTGGCTTCACAAATATTGACAATGTCTCGTGTTATGCTAATTCTGTCATGCAGGTACTTTTCCATTGTGAATCCCTTGTAAACCAAATTCACAATAATGAACTTGGACCGACACTTAAACAATGCCTGGACGAATATAGTGACAACAGTATCTCATCTAATACTCGAACAGTCAGAGAATATTTGGACAACGAGACAATATTTTATACTCTGCAAGAACAACAAGATTGTGTACAATTTTTAGAAGCACTTATGAACCGTAACAGACACACATTTGATTCATTATTTGGATTTCAAGAAGTGTATAACACTCGTTGCAATTTGTGCAGTCATACAACAACCAGTGATGCACCAACCAGCTTGATCCTACATTTGGATATTCCACAAGACAGATCACAAAATCTGGAAACATTATTGTCAACCGATCAAAATGTATGGTCTAGCATATCAGACTACAGATGCAACAATTGTAATAACATTGGAGGTTATGAAAGTAAACATCAGATAACATTAGCCCATGAATATATAATAATTCAATTAAAATTATTTACTACGACCTTCGTAAACGAACAATTTGTTTCCAACAAGATAACCAATTTAAAACTAAGCGGTGTACCGTCTAGTATTTTACAAATTGCTGGAGCGCGTTACAAACCTCATGCTGCCATACTACACATTGGTCAAAACACGAACTCTGGCCATTATATAGCATATCTGAAACAAGCACATTCTAATTGGGTTTCCGCCAATGACACAACAATTACTGAAAAAAGGTGGCCGAATAACAGCAAAGATGTGTATGTTATCATTCTAAAAAAAATATAACAATATTTTTAAAGTAGAACAATATACAAAAAAACTATACACCAACCAAAAATAATATGTACTATATAAATTACATAAAATAATATTAACTGTCTGATTATCATTTAAAAAGGGTCGTGTAAACCGCCAACTAATTACCTTCATAATATTATTATTATTATTATGTATGAGTTGCCAGTCTCAAGCCTGGATTAAAGTGTGAGAGCGCTAACCTTATAATAATTGTTTTCTTTTTTTTATATAAATAAGCAGAGATCCAGATTTTATCAATACTCTTACAAAAGTATTTATTATTAGATAGGTATCAACTATTAACCATTGATCCCATTTGTATTTATTATTTTTCAATCCTTCATAATATTATACCAATGATTTAAATATTTTAATACAATTTGTTGCATTACCAAATGTGTTCCTTTTTATTTTGTAATGTTTAAATACAATAAACAATTTAACTCTTTGCATTTTGATAATACGCTGTTGGCAATTTATCTTAATATACATTTCCATTTAGTATACAACAAATAAACACATTTAGTTTAAATCTATTTATGCATAAATCATAATACTCTGTAAACATTATGCATAATATCATGATACATCTTAATAATACTGAACAAAACTAAATAATACATTTTATATACACACATAAAAATATTAAATACATTTAAGATAAATACTATCAATAAACTACTGATGTGCTTACACTTATTTTACTAAATAAATTTATGTTTTTTTTTACAGATATTCAAATTATTTAAACAATTAGTGGTTTGTAAGCATTTGAACCTTTTGATGGCCTTAATTTGGTTTAACAGTACAAAATGTTTATTAATTCATATTGTTAATGTTTTATACTTCTAAATCTTTGAAATAGTCTTCATTACTCAATGTATTTTGTCTGTATTTAAGTACTGATCTTGTAATTAAACTGATGTATCAATTCACTGTTAATTGTATGAAATGTAATATACTTATATTATAATTATTAAGGTAATTTTTCAATAGTTAATTGTTTGATTCCAATTAATTGTAATCCGCTTCAAATTTATTTGAAATAGCTCCACAGTAAAGTAAAACCAATTTGAGAAGTTAATTTGGACGAAAATTCACTAACCTCATCAGGAATAATTCAGGACAAATTATTTGCTAAAGTTGTATGTTCACCATCAATGACACAATGCTGCCATTTTCTGTATCTAAATAATAATACGTAATAACATAAATATAAAATAATTTAATACATAAATAATCTTAAATAAGAGTTATAATACTTACCTAGTTATAAAACTTACCTACAAATGTTTACACATGTTTAGTGAAAGTATTGAAAAATAATCCAGGATTTGATTTGTCTTATACTGTGTCACTACACATTTACTTACAGACAAATAAAACAACACAAAATAATGCAAATGGAATAAAAATATAATCATGAATAAAATCTAGATGTAACTATGTAAGCTTGGTGAATTTACAAGTAAATATTTTTTTACTAATAAAATTAGCATGTGAGTATATGTGACAGTGTGACACCTAAAATTAAACAACATAAAGAGACAAATATTAATAATTCATAACCAAAATATAATGAAATATACATAAATTACTATAATACACTATCAAATATTATAAGTTATCATCACTAATAATTACACATTACCTAATTAATAAATTGTATTTTATCGACATTGTGGTGTATTGTCTATGATAGTATCACGGTTTGTTGTTGATGTATAACGCATTTAACTACCAAATGCCTAGTGGATATTAAATGTTCTGATATGATTAATTTGGAATTTATTATATAAGTCAATTTTTTTTAAAAATATTTATGTTCATATACCTAGACTGACATACCGCCTCCGCTCAGAATCGTTTTTCTTATACAATGATNTGCTAATTATTCTGTAGTTAAAAATGTATAAACAATTTTTTATTAAAAAATAAGAATTGAAAATTTAATACTAGGTTGTCCATAAGTTGAGCTTAGAATAATTATAATAAAAATTGATGATTATGAAATGTTCAACACTAGGAATTGGTTATACACAATTGAGCGAACTTTCTTCATCAGCTGAGCTTCCATTTTTATCATCCACTGCGTACTTGAAACATTTATCAATTGTTAGTGATGCTATTAAAGATACGGCCATTGATGAAATGTTGAAAGCTGGAAATGAGGAACGGCAACTGGCCATAAAAAGTGGTAATATAGATGAAGACGGAATTCCTATGTGCACAGTAATCGCAGATGGCCAATGGTCCAAGCGAAGTTATAAAACGAAGTTTAATGCATTTTCAGGAGCGGTGAGAATGTTATTTTAACTTAATTTTAGATTTTGAGCGTAGCAATGAATGTATTGATATGATATGTGTTTTTTTATTTTTTTTTTTGTGTCTGTCATTACCTTTTAGGACAAAAAAGTCTTTAATAGTAGCTTTTCTGATAGGAAAGTTAATCTAGTTGGTACTTTGGGGTCAAAAGTAAAAATTTTCCAGTAGTTTTGAAAAGCGCCACGAAAAACAAATGAAAAATTAAAGAAAAAACGAGATTTTTTACGCAAACCCGATTTTCGACTAAATCGATTTTTATTTTTGGTGTACATATAAAAGGAATTACAGTAGATACATGAAATTTTGATCGATACCCCATACAATTTTGAAAATAATTTGACTTTTTTGAGTTGTTTACGGGCAATTTCATATTTTAATTTTTTTAGTTTTTTTGTCTATAAATACCAATAAAATTTTATTTGTTGGGCTAAAAAGCTTGAAAATTTAATACAAAGCTCCTAATGTATTGTTATAATGGTAGTTGAAAAGTATTAAAAATACATAGGCATATTTTTTTTTATAAGTTCAAATTTTTACTAAATTTATCAAATTTAAAATTTGAAATTATTTTGTAGTTAAAAATAGTTTAAGTAATAATAGTAAATTAGTTCCACGTAAATAGGTTATTATATTTAAATTACTTTATTCACGATAAGATCATCAAATATACTTAGTAATATAATCATAAACTGACTGACCTGACTGTCTTCGCCCAGAATCGTTTTTCTTATACAATAATATTCTATCATTGGATTCAAATTTAACACAATCCATTACAGTGGCTCATTTATAATCTACTGTACAGAAGAGCGACACCAACTTGACCACCTTTTTATTTTTTAAATTATTATAAGTGTACAATTTCCGAGAAACGATCGTAAACGTCATTTTAAGCAGAACCAAATGTTTCTAATAATAATTAGAATGTCATTTTAACTGACAATAGGCTACAATTATTGGATTTAACACAAGAAAAATTTTATTCGTGGGTATACGCAATAGTTATTGTTCAGTATGTCAGAGAGCTATGACAAGAAAAGAAGAGCCACCCAGTCATAAATGTTTTCTCAATTGGAAAAAGTCGTCCACAGGTATGGAAGCAGATGGTATTCTTGAAGGCTTTTAAAGTAGTATAAGCATGCATGGCCTGAAGTATAACAAGCATATTGGTAAATATTATTAAAATTTGATTTTTATAGTATACCGTAAAACAACAATTTATTAGTAGGGTATTAAATTGTTTATTTCTAGGTGATGGTGACAGCAGTGTGACCAAAAAGTTAAACGAAGTTTTACCATATGGCAGTAATTTTCAAATTAAAAAAATAGAATGCAAGAATCATCTGTTAAGGAATTATTGTACAAATTGACCGCACTTACAAAACAGACCAAATATTCAATAGTCATTCGAAAATGTATAACATCGAATATTTTGCGTTTCCGTTCGGACATAACCAAGTCAATTGATTATCATATAAAAACTGATGTATCTATTCACAACAAAATTGAAGGTTAATATTTTTATTTTTAATAATATTATATAATTTAGGTATGATATTATAAATAAACAAATTACCTAAACTTATAATATTAGTCACGTCACTAGGTACATATTTTATTCCATATTATTGTTACGCAATATTCCTTATATTTTATGTATTTTACAGTTTTTACAGTCAGTCAGCCTATATTTCTAAAGATAATTATTTATTTTTCTATTACAGCGTAGTTTATTATAATTTTTTTTATTGTTTTAGCACTTAGAAGAGATATTTCAAATAGCATATATCATAGATTAGGACAACATAGAAATTGTGCTAAGTATTTCTGCTCTGGTTCAAAAAATGGAGAAACAAATTTGGTACCTGAAGCAGAGAGAACGGGGATAATGAATGATATGCGAAATATAGTTTATAGGCTCACTGTAAACGCCGATAGTTTGATAGAAAACGTAGATAATAATCCATGTGAGCAATTTAATTCGATCATAAATAAACATATTGGTGCAAAAAGAATAAATTTTACACAAGGACACAACTATCAGACTAGAGTTGAAGCAGCTGTGGTCGCATACAACTCCAAAAACTACATTCGAGCTGTACAGAAAAAAATTATGACTAAAAGTCCAGGTAATTTAACAATTTTTACGTAAAACATATGGTTCTGTATTATTATATTTTTTTAAAATCCAACTTTTAAAATGTAATTTAAATTATATTAAATATTTTATTGTACTAAAACGATTTAAACAGGTAAATTTGGCAAACGTTATACACAAAATATAGAACGTATTAGAAACAAAACCATATTAAGAAGAAAAAAATTATTTGATGAAGGGCACAAACGAACTAAGCCAAAATCAAAATTCAGTGGACCCGATGTCGATTATGGGTTAGCTGAACCGTTGGATAATTGTATGCCTATCGAAGAGTTAGAAAGAAAGAAACAGCTTTTCATTAATACATTATTAAATGTTGACCATGAACACATAGAAAATAAGACAAGGGAACAAAGTCTAAATCAAGATTGGTTTGTCGAACGAAAAAAAAGATTGACTGCTTCTCACTTTGGCGATATATGTAAAATGCGATCAAACACGAGCTGCCGAAAAAAGGTCCACAATTTGTTATACAAGTTCGGTACAACAAGTAAAGAAATGAATT